TGTCGAGTCAACCTTGCAAATAATGGCAAAAATGTAATTACGATCCACAGACAGTGTGTCCCCCCAGTTGTTATTTTACAATGTTTTGTTGTGAATTTTTCACAAGTTGCAGTTTGAAGCGGTGTACCCAGTGTAACGGTTTACCTTTAGTGTGTCTCAGATGCCGCAGACAGGAATCCGCAACATATCCAACACTCTTTGGCGTCTCAAGTATGGACATGAAGTCATTGCTTCAGCCTACACTGAGTGAAAAGTGAAGGAAATTAGGGTGTTCTCCCTTAGACCAATGACATTTCATGTCCATCATGCTTGTTTTTCCACAATGATTTGATCTTTGCTCAGATGACTGGCAGACCAATGACTCAACCACCCTCCCCCACCCTCCCACCCCTTCCCCAACTGTTTGCTCAGGATGACTGGGAGATCTACAGCTTTCACATCAACTCCACGGTGACCAGTCGTTACGCTACCACCATCATCACCAGCCGTGTGGCCAACCGTAAAGACGAATCCCAAGAAATCGAGTTCCACGTCCGGATTCCCAAGAATGCCTTCATCAGCAAATTCAGAATGTGGGTGCAGTGAAGAACTCTTACATCTCAACTCATCACGTTACTTATATCATAGAGCACTTTGAAGACAACCGTGACTGCACACAAAGATTTTTTTTTTGCCGCTCATTTGCTGTTGGGACATATACAGTTGTGTTGGAAGTAGAAAGAGAACACAGTACACATTGTTAAATGAAAGTGAGTTTTTCAAACTTTATGAAGGGAAGGCACATTTCACCTCTGAAAACTTTCACTGGACGCCACCAAACAAAAATGTCGCTAAAAGACAAATTCCCAAACGCAGTATCTAACCTGGCCCTGTTTCAAAACACACCAATCTGAAATAAATTCTGTTTTCAGATCTTTCTTGTGTATATAAAGCAAAATGGGAAAAAATAAAGCACTATGATCAGGGAATGACTTTGACCTTTTCTTGACTTTCTCCGCAGGTTTATGGACGGCCAGGTGTATGATGGGGTCGTGAAGGCTAAAGAAGCGGCTGAGCAGCAGTACACTGATGCTGTGTCTCGCGGTGAAAGCGCTGGTATCGTCAGGTACGATTCAAGATTATTATAAACGAAAAGGAATGTTGCAGCTCCGAAATAAAGAGAGCTGTCGTGTTGGGTTAAAAGGAATGTTGCAGCTCCGAAATAAAGAGAGCTGCCGTGTTGTTTTTTTTTTAAAGATACACTTTATTAATTCGTTTAACACTCAGGCAAATTCAGACACGTCTCTGTCCGTCTCAATACACTTTATTAATTCGTTTAACACTCAGGCAAATACAGACACGTCTCTGTCCGCCTCCGTGCCTTCTTTTCTCTCGTTGGCTCGAGAGACGTTCAAAGACCGCCTCCGAAAAAACGGAAATTAACGATTAGTTCAAAGACACGAAGAAAAGCGGAAATAACGTATCAAAACAGAAAATCAAGCGAGGAAATCACAA